CGGTTCATTGCTCGGTCGATCCACGAGTTAACTTGACTTTTGTGTGTTTTTGTGCTCACTGTGATAGTACCTTGAAATAGGTCACGTATGTTGTCTAATGTATTTTACAGTATACTGTATAAACTATCCTAATATCGATGTAGCTGAACTTCTGCAGTTAATATAGTAAAGTTAAGTAACTTAGGAGTCGTCTCTCGCTGCTGCTGTGCGGGCTGCAGAAAGCCACGGAATTTGTAACAGTATTCGCGCTGATCCAGTTCTACTGACCTCCAGTCCACTCACCATCAGCGTTTATACAGATCACCTGTTGCTTGGCTAGGGCTCAATGCCGTCTTATCCTTTCCAATTTTCCAACTTCACCATCGGACATAATTTATTTCTTCTCTGATTTAGGTTTTTCGTGTTTTTCTCCTTTACTCTAGGCAAATCCTGGGAAAGTACTTTAAATACACCACGACCGCTTCCTTCCACATTCCTTCCAATTCATCATTCACATTTATCTTCTATATCCGCCCACAGCCGAGAGTCGTTAAATAACACAAGTATGAATCAACCGTTGTCAACAAATTGTACCGTCTTTAATTTTGTATCTTAGATTATCTACAGGGAATGAAACATGTTTTAGTTATAAATGTGAGATCTTCGAGTCAGAATGATTGGGTATGTGATACGCCCTCTGGGATGTGGAACACATCTTAACATTACGTGGCGAGAGTGTGCAATAATGAGATGCTCCAGAGAGATCTGATTTCAGAGGAAGACGGTGCCGCCTTGATATAAGAGGCGCTGCCCTACGTCTCTTGCTTCATCACTTTAAGTAGGAAGCACGAGCAGTCTGCAGACGTTCAGTAACCTGAATATGCTGGGTTCGTATGCTGAATAGGGGCACTGGAGAAGATTTTACGCCAGGCTCTATTTGGGTCTAGTTCCTGGCTTTGTGATGTTCGTTTCTATCGAGTTAAAATTCAAAGACAAAACTATTATGGCCAATAACATGCTTACCAAGTGTAAATTTTTTTGAAAGATGCGTACTTTTTCAGATTATTTTTAATGTAGTGAAAAAGGTGCGTTAAAATTTCGCGAGGAATGAGTTATTCTGTATCTTCATCTCTTACCCCATTTCTTTTCATTTCTTTTAACACTTTCATACTTTCACCTCATCCAAAAGTACTAAAGCTGCCTTAATAGTAGCATTACTTTTAAAATAGAGCATTCTACCGTCTAGCATTATTACTGAGAACTTGGCCAGTCATGCACAACACACAGGTAGTATCCTAGCATACGTAGATAAATTATTTATTGAAGCGTATGTATCTTTACGAAGCCTATCAATTAGAATAGAGCCCGATTGTGATTCATGTATGTAAATAATCGTTTCATGAATATATAAAAATATTAGAATGTTTATTTTAAGGAAGAATATTATCCAAAATCAAGAAAAAGTACACAAAAGAATGTTGCAGTAGTTTATATTTGCTTTTATTATATGTGATCTTTTCTTTACAACTGCAGATGAGGTAACGTTTTCGTAGAATATGTAAACATAACCTAAATTTATATATAGTTAGTTACACTCGTTTATCATGTGTCTGAGAGGTTCTTCTGTATGTATAATACGTGAGTAACATTCTTTAGCTTGCGTTTTTTTATAACGCATGCAACAATTTGTATATATATCAGAGATAAAAAGAAAAGTAGACAAAAAAGAAAGAGATACAGATCAGATGACGCAATTGGATGTGAGTAGCCCGCAGCGCTTAGGAAAAAAAATTGAAATGCCCAGGGATTTATATCTACTAGTTTAGATCGTCCGTAGAATCAACAGTTTGAAATGCTGTGAAGTTTCGGTTGCCATGGTGATGTAAGAAAAAACAACTATGCCCAAGCGTCCGTTATATTTATATATGAACATGAAACATGTATTCCCTTTGTCGCAATGCAGAAAAAAATACATAGTTTAGAATTGTGACGCGTTAATTGGATGACATATAACGAAACAAAATCAAAGCAAATGAAGGAGAATACTGACACTGACGAAAGAAATTTTTACTCGTATTAATATAAAAGGTATTTGTCATTGGCGTGTTTAATTTCCAGATCCTGAAGTATTTTTGGCTCCTATTGGTTTGTATTTCACTCAAACTACTGTCATACCCGTCAGCAGGGACGAAGGTCACAGAGAAATTGTTCAATGTTTCAACATGAACAGCGAAACTCAGGCGAGTAAAGACATCTCAGACCTCACTACGTAGCAAATCTTCAAACGCTGTATGGCTACTTTGATCTGTGTGATGAGGGGTGTGAAGACTTTCCCTGACCTTAGAGCAATTTGGTGACGACTACTATAGAAGAAATAATAGTTGTTTGTCGTACAAATTTCTTGGATGGATTAACTGCAGAGGCTGTTTAGCGTCGGTGTGAGAGATGATCGCATTCGGTGAACTTCGAAGTGTTTTAGAAGAAGCTAGCATGACCTCTTTGAAGCTACTACCCTGCGATTCGCTTTGAAGGACTGGATTGTCGGTGTCTCAGCAAAGATTAGCCCCGTGTACCCCCCCCCGCATAAAAGCCAGGAGCTTTTCCGCTTAAGCCAATAATCTCGCTAAAAAAAATTTAGTCAGGTTACAATGATTCACCAGTTTCTAACACATCAGAACTTTGGCTACGCCCTCGTGTTCTTAATTTATTTTACTTTCAAATTTTCTCACAAATATATTTTTGTTTTCATTCATTATCAGTTTTAGGGCGTTTATAGTGAGTGTCACATTCGACCCTTGGGAATACAGTTTTTTGCATCCCTGATGTATGCAAATGCTTACGGTTAGTTTTCATTTAAATGAATTCTCTGCAATTCTCTTTTCAGTTATATATCGCACAAAACAACAGTGCAGCACAAACAGTACGTCACTTGGTTGTTTATCTACGGATGTAAATGTAGTTAGAAGTTCTCGTCTGTATGAAATTGGGCAACACATTTCGTCAGGGTTATGCGAGTTTATACATAAATGTATAATTCACAATGCAAATTATACTGAAGTTATGTTTGTCCGTGTGGGATTCCTTGCATTCGCATTTAATGTTGCTGAACTCTGGAGACCTGCAACTAATGGCCAGAGGTAATTCTCTGTAACCACAATAAAAAACATTCATCACGTCAATATTATTACCGGTACAGCAAGTAGGCCTGTTTTGCATGAAAAGTTGTATGCGTGTTATTTAGGTTTCTTGACGGTATTGATATTAACCGTTCAAAGCCAACTGGTAATTATATGTGCCATCTCCCTGCGTCTTACCCGTAGAGTGAATGTATGTGTTTCATATTATTTTCAAAATAAACAGGAATTATCCTTTAAAGCCTAGTGGTGACTATATGTACCACCTGTTTTAATAATCAGTACATTGTCAGACATAACCACAACACCTTCCTTCCACATCCGTTCAGACTCATTATTTAGAGTTATCCTACCGCGTATGTATACATAATCTTATCAGTTGATTTAACATCATAAAATAAACGTGAAACAGAGCATCCGAATCCTCTACAGAAGAATTTCTTGCATACTTTTGTGTAAAATTTATTTTGCATATTAAAATATAATTTCTCTTATATTTCCTGTATATATAGGAGCAGCCTCAAAAATATATATCTAATTACCTTCTATTATATACATTGTCGTGTAACTCAGAAAAGGCAATGTGGAAAGAGATAGCTCTCTAAATAAAAGAGGATTCTGTTGGCCTGTTTAAATATTTACAGCAGACACAAAGGCCTACGTCTCGTTAGGAAACCTGAACAAACCAAACCGGGTGCAGTGGTGGCATGGTGGCAGGAACATTTGAAGTAGCACTCCGTCGCTAAATCTTTCTCCATTTCATGGTTGAAATCCGTACGGCACACAATGGATCGTACTTTCTTGTTGAACAAAACTGCGCACACCTGAGTAAACTCTTTTGTTACGTAGGCCTCCATAAATCGTGGGACTACTAGACTCTGACCGGAAACACAAGTTTGAGGTACAAGAACAACATAAGTATAAGTGCGAAGTTTTGCTGCAAGAAAACGTCGGTGTTTGTACGAACATGCATTATTTTGTCTCTTGCGATCCCAATAGGGGAAGAATGCATATAAGATTGTCAAGTTCGATAAATATTTTTTCCCCATGTAAATAATGACCAGTCTTAATGTTAAAAAATTGGGGGATTGGTAAAAACTACTCTCCGTCTTTTACAGTCATTTGTTATAGTCAGTCGCGGTAGTTAATTCTCTTTTCATCGTGACAACTTTCTAGTGGAAACAAAACGAAAATAGAAGTAGGCTCTTTGTGAGCAAACAAATAGCAATTCATATAAGTACTTGAAGAAGTTGGCGGGTTGTTTTATGTCACTATTAAGTTGTGCTGCTTTCGCTAAAGCCTGGAAGCTTGTACTTTATGGTCAGTTCTAGCAAGAGCTCCGGGTTCTTGTAACTCATACCACCTGGTTGTTGGACATCCTGGTGTCCAGGTCTGAGGTTAGCTCAACCGGTGGAACCAGCAGATAGGTCTCTTGTCTTGATCCCCCTCTTTACGTGATGTCGAAACAGAACCCAGCTTTCGAAACGTTGTAATATTATAATTTTAGATGAATAATTTTTCCGGTATGTAACGCTGCCGTCAGAAACCTTCAAACTTCGATTTGTTACAAGATGTTTCCGTGCCAATATTCTCTACAAAACGTCTTTGTTGGAACGTTTGTTTCGTATTTGCTAGAAATTGAGTTCTATCCGTCATCCTAAGGATTTTAGAAATTTCCTGTAGTTCTTGCAAAAAGAAAAATTCGCGAGCACACCTTAAAATACGACATGATAGTTTTATTTTCGATCTATACAACTCACAATTGTCGATTATTATTCAGTTTGAACCAGTGCAATCTGCTCATCGAGCAAACCATAGTTAAATAAGTAAGAAAGAAAAAGAAACGATTGACGGGCATTTCTACTATAAAGATTTGTCTTGTTTCAGAACCTGCTGTTTTACTACGACTCTGATTCATGCAACCGGCCGTCAGGCGTTGTTTTGCTTGAAGGCTGCTACTGTGAGCGTCTCATTACAACTGGCAGCGGAAGTGGCGGAAAGAATAAAGAAGTTGCAGATAAGCAGGTAGGATTCTGTCGACACTGTTAGAATAATACGCGATCGCATGTGTTGAACTTGGGACTGCGACAAGCTACGACGTATCTGCAGGCTAGTACAAATCACGAAGAACTCCTTCCAGCGCTGTTTTATTCAGACACAAGCTCTGCAATGCAACGCTTTCCCCTTGCTTTTAAAACTTGCGGCGAGGTACGTGAGGAGCCGACTGTTCCGTATTGACAGACCTGCAGTTGTTTCCGTCGAGTTGAGCGTGAGGTGATGTCTGTTACTAGTAATGAGGCTGTATAATTTAGCGACTGGCGAGTTGGTGCATTACGATGCACTATGCTCGATGGAGTATTTAGACTACGTTACATATTTTATGATGAATTTCTGTAGCTGTGATTATAATATTAAGTGTGACTGCCAGCTGAATCATTTTAAATTTATTGCATGAAAAAGGCTGCAACCTAACTATCGTCTCTCTGTTGACCATACAAGACGAAAATCACGTCAGATGTCCGTGTATATTAAAATATGGTAACCGTGATTTAAAATACGTTCATCACCGTAAAAAACAATACACATTACATTCACGAATAAAATGGATATTTAAAATGTGCCTTATTAAATTAGACCATATGACGAACGTCATACATTAGTCGTTTTTTAAAAATTGTTTTTAAAATTGTACCTTTCGCTATTTGGAAAGTATACTCGTAAGCAAAATAAAGATGAATTTATTTTTTATGTTCTCGTTAACCTGAATTAAACTGAGCCAGGCTGCTTCTACCTTTTTTGCCTCTCTTACATGCCAAAAAACATGCCACATCATGGTAAAGTAAAGTAAAGCGTCTCGCTACATGCCTGTGCAGGCACTTGGGGGCAGTTGCTAGAAATTCCTGCTTAAAATTTGTCGCAGTTACAAAAATGTATATAGAAATAGAATTTCAAAACTTCTATGCTGGAAATTAATAAAAAAAAACGTTTTACGTACATTTTTTTATTTCTGAATAAATACGCGACTTATTTATCTTTTATTTTATTGAAGCTTATGCGATATATCATTACTATATCGACATCTGGACTTCATGGGAACACGTAAGCCTAAATGAACTTGCCAATAATTACTACTGTTCCGAAAGATAATAACAGTTCCAACCAAATTCCATCAAGCATACTTCACAAATATTAGTCTGATAAGATTATCTTCTTTATAAATGCTGGTAGATGATTCGCGCTCCAAATTCGCAATTGATTACCATTTTGTGGAACACGACGTACACAACTTTGTGTCTGAACTGTTTATAACGTTCAACGGCTTTCCATTCTTTACCTGAACACAAATTTGTCTTCCTTCACACTTTTATAGGCGGGTGTGTAACTGTGACCTCTACACGTCTACGTAAAATTGTTGTTAAAATAACCTCGGTTTAAGTCCACTGATTAGTCTTTCTTTTCGTCATTGTGCTTAATTAATTGCTTTCGTTTCATATTTTAATCCTGTCTTATTTTATTTTTTATAATCGTGATGTGCCCCATACTGTATAAGGATAAATCTAATCGCAGTAAGTATGATTTTTACCTCCTTCCTTCAATAAAAGTAATGATACCTCACGATAATTCGTTAGTTGAAGTGTTTAGAAAACCAATCCATTTTGTTGCGATAACCATTCGTCACCCTTAAGTAAATTCTTCTGACTATTGTTAGTCATTAAAGCATGCGGTATACATAGTTACCATTTCATTTCAAAGATGTAGCTTGATATGAATTATTTCAACTTAATTTCCTCATGCCACTCAACACACTTAAATTAATTAAACGATTCTAGAAGTATCCTAAAGTTTGCGCTCCATATGTGGAATTGCACTGCACTTATTAATGAGTGGCACAAATGTATTAATCTCTTTCGTTCAGCTGTCAGCTACGCAAATGAACAAATTAACATGGAGCATTATTTTGTATAGGCCAAGATAAAGAAAACAGCTTCTCGTGTATAAAACAGAGATTGTTTAGCTTTAATATTCCTTTACGACCCTTTAATTTAACAAATTGGACGAATCCCCCCAGGTGTAGTTTAGTTTAGTTTGTTAATTCCTTTGTTTGAAATATTGCTCAACGAGCAGTTGTTTAATGACGTGTTCCATTGAAGCTGTACAGACACTTCAGAAAGTAATTTCTCTTTATTTCACGTTAATCTATTGAACCTCAGTTTATTTATATGTTTATATATAATGTACGAATTTAAGCGCGATTAATTGAATGATCCGTTCGATTGGTTGCTTAGTTGATTATTGTTTTCTGCAGTTGAGAAATAAAGTAAGGCACCACGACAGTATGCCACTATCATCCAACAGACATGATTACTTCAGGTATTATACATAAACTTGTACAGCTCAAAAATTGTCTAAGATTTGGAAAGTCTGCCAGTTTGTATGTCTGTTTTTTTTCTGTTTTATCTGGATACTGCATGATCCGAGTTTTAAAATATCTCTAGTGCGGATGTGATAGTAACATGGTTCTTATCTTTCCATATTCATATTAATCAATGTATAGGCATTTCGTTTTGATAAGTGGTAAACTGATTTATCATGTTAATATATGCAGCTGTAGCTAAAATATATTTATTAAGCAGGAAATGTGATTCTCACGGCGGTGAGTAGGAAGATGGTTAACTGCCTTCTAGTTTGAACAAACTACACAGCGCTACAACCCAAAAGACAGCCATCTTCGAAATATATTTGACTGTAAAATATTATTCAATTTTGAATTAGGATGCGCATGTGGCTTACGTTTCTTGTTGGCTCAGTCATTCTGAACTGTTTGCCATAATACTAGTGACTTGTCGCATAACAGTATACTGACGAACTGACAGATTCTTTGACTGATGGACTGACTGACCCGTTGTCTCACTGAATGACTAATTGAGTAACCACTTTATCGACTTAATGGCTGACTCACCCATAGACTGATCCCTGGACCAAGATATTATCTGCACATTCTATAGGTGAAGATTTTATAGCATGAAATTTGTTTAAAATTTCAACGGGCATATAAAATTTATGCAGGCAGCTTTCATTTTGAGTTTCAAATTCTATATGTATATATGCACACGTGCGCGGATTTGGATGGATGGATAGACTATCCATAATTGAATTCACTGCAGAAGACCTGACATCCTCATCACGAGTGGAAAATACAGTAGGTCTGCAGTGTAGAACTAATTCAGTATTTACCACCTGAAGATGAACAATTTGAATTTCGAAGTTCATCTAAATATTATTTAAGAATGCAATTTCTTTCTCGAAGGAAACAACTCTTTTCGCTGAAGTTTCAGGTTCTCAGGGCGACGAATATGAGGAGGCTGTCTTCTGGGATGTTGCGACGTATAGTATGGGAGATCGACTGTTCAGAGGTGATTACCCCCTCCATCGTCAGGGCAATCGTATTTTGATCTAAACAGCACAACTTCCGTTATTGTTTCCGAAAATTCAGTTATCGTTATATACTTTAAGCACTTTATCTCACTTATTCTTATATTAAAGATATATAAATCAATTTTATTCCAAGTCTCTATTCATACAACGAACTATCTTCCGTCTGCCGATTATCTGAATTACAAATTCTCTTATTCAGAATCGTCATTCTGTATTCTTTGATTTCAAAATATGCCACAGTTGTTTCCATTTGCTATAGATGTGACAAATTTCTATTCCCATGCCTTTCTTGATGTCTTTCACCCTCCACGCCCGAAGTTTCACCTTAGTATATTTATCCTTACGCCACTTTTATATACTTATACATGCTTTTCTTTTTTCAAGTCTTTTGAAGCAGTAATATAGCATTATCGATCCTTCACTCCTCATATTAGCTACTATTTTCTACCTTTCTGCGTCACACCGCTTACTTATTTTCCACACTTTCTTATCGTTTTCCTGTTTGTTATGTCCAGTTCGCTCTTGGAAGCTTCATTAGCTACTGTCTCTAGAACCCCCATTACCAGTTTATTAATGCCTTATGCATTCTACTATCTTTCTTCTCTTCTATAACCCCCAAATTTCCGTCTATCCTCTTTCTCGATTCTATCAGCAATATTTACGTATGTTTCAGTAATATGCCCCTTACACTTTGATCTCTCGCGAGGTTTTATTTTTCAATTTTCCTATAGGATAAAAGCCATTTTAAATTTATGGAACAAGATAGAATTGTCGATAACAAAGTTCGTGTCTCATAAATGGCTCCTTGGAGGTCCATTCTACTGGAAGAATAGATGTTGGGTGTAAGTAAAGTAGATACCAAGCGATGCACAGTTTCATCGAGATTATTCAGTGTTCTCAAGAGGAGAAAGCTTATGAAAGCAGATTGCATGTATCATAATCTGGATAGGCAATAATGTAGAAGGCAGAATTTCGCTTCACTGATCCGAGTTACATCTCCCTGAACTCGTTTTATGTTTGTTGCAAACAGGTTTCCCTGCGGTTCTTAGATATTACTGGTTTTCATACTACTGTGCTTGCAATATTCACTCCCGCAGGAAATAAGGACAGGGGCAACACAATTGCTTTAACGATTCCTCGATACCAGGGATTTTGTTAATCCGATTTTAGATGTATTTGAACATTTTTACGACTTAGGATGTTTAAATGGATCTTAACGTGCGGATAGGGGAAATTTATATAGTTAGATATCATAAACATAATACTCTACTATAATTTTTATAAGATTTAAAAAATGCGGAATTTAAAAACACATTAATAGCTTGGTCAGCAAATAGCGCTGAACTTGATTATAGATACTGCAATTTAAGAGGAAAGAAGAATCGTATTAAAATACTTTAGAATCCATTAGAAGGAATTATTTGTACAAGAGGCTTCAAAATAATTTAGGTATTTCTCGACGTCGTGTCCTTATTTAGCCGTGTTTTGTGCACGCAACGTACATCTCCTGCAGTGCGCTTTCTCTCAGTAGAAGGAACAAAGAGAACGAATATCTGTCTTTCAGTCGCGTAACAACGACTTCTGTTCGC